CTTACATGCATTTCTTTTATAACATTTCATAAGCATTCCAAATTAGAAAGACAATCTAGACCAAGGAGTGACATGTGAAATGTAATTGGTCAGGAAAGTGCCTTCCATATTAGAATTGTCATGACCTAATGGTGAATCAGTGACTCTTAAGGAAGGCATTACATTTTCTCAACTCCTTGTGGCTGAACAGAATATTAATCACATGGATGTCAAATGGCTGATCTGATAGGCCAATAGCATAGCCAAAATAACTGGGTTAAGTAGTTGTGGTTATTTTGGTTTAAAAAAATTGATTGCTGGTTAATTCAATTAATATATTGGATGTTCTACAACTAGTAATTAATATAAATACCTTTTCTGTATAAAAGAAAAGAGATATTTTTTATGGAAAATGCAGAGTAGTATAAGATATATTCCCAACTTCACGGATTAAAAATCTGCTTGTGAGACAAAACATAAACCCTTGAAAGTCAAGTAACATTATATTCAAATATGTAAGAGAGACTGCAACACAGCCTATGATTACACATAAATGAGGAATAGACTCCTGATAGAACATGTCAAACCCATTCCCATAAATTTTCCTATCCCCAGACAGTTTCCTGAAAATTCCTCTCAGAAAACGTTTATGAATGCATGTGAATGAGATGGTCATTATAAGAATTATCTAAATCCATTAGCATTTACTAAATAAAACATCAGAATTTTGACTATTGTTAGTAAAACATTACTTCTGTGACATATTTCAAGCTAAAAATGAGCGATTGGTTCTTTTCAATGTAATGGTTATAAAACTTATTATTGACCTGTACTGTCCAATAAGGTAGCCACAAACCACATATGGTTATAGAATATTTGAAATGTGGCTACTCAAATTAAGATGTGCTCTAAGTATAAAACACACATTGGGTTTTGAAGTGTTAATATGAAAAAGTAGATGTACTATATTTTATTAATAATTTTTATATTGACTAGAATTTTATATGATAGTATTTTGGACATATTGGTGAACTAAAATATATTATTATAATTCCATTTTTACATTTTAATATGGCAAATCGAACATTTAAAATTACCTATGTGCCTTGCATGATATTTCTATTTAACTGCAAAGCTATACATAAATAAAATTTGAATTCAGAGGAGAGAATTTACTGTAAGTTGATAAAATTTTAGGGAAGTGTGCATGTGAAAAGTGCCTCATTTCTAACATGTACCCTAAGTCATAATGATTCTTCCTCTGCTTGTATACTCCCAACAGTGAGAAAGTCACTACTTTAAAATTAGTGCTTTTAAAAATAAAATAATTTGCAACACTAATCAGTTGTTCCTATATTAAATGAAAAGTCAGGCTCCAAACTCCTATCCATTGATTCTGGTTGTTCACTTTGGAATCACACAGAATAATTCAAATTCCTAACATGCATAATGATCTTTTTAACAAATGCAGAGTAGTCTTGCATCAGGAAAGCTGGACTCTACGCATACTACTTACTAATGAAATCTAAGTTTGCATCATCTTGCTTGAATAATTATTCATTTTGTAGTAGTGTTTCTTAAAATCTATTCATATCTGCTGATATTATTTTTGTCCCTGGTAGTATCATGTGGTTACTAGCATTTGGCCAGAAATCGATATATATCCATACATGCAGTGTTGATCAGTCAAGTCTTTTCAATTTTATACAATAAAAATTGCGGTATTTCAAATTCTTGATCATTCAGGAGCTTTGTGAAATGTTTGTTTTTATTCACTTAGTTTTTCAGGAAATCACTATATTGTACACCTGAAACTCGTATAACTAATGTAATATTGTCTACCTACTCTACTTAAATTAAAAAATAATTCATTTATGAGTGCATAATATGTAACAGGAATAACTCAAGGTTGGAAAAGACAGACAAATTCATCATCTTCATGAGGTGTTCATGGAACTCATTTGTCTTACTTTGTGGCTTTTTCTACATGCTTTCTGTGTTTTCAAATAATGTCTGGTGAAAATACTACACAGGGCAGAACAAGTGCAAAGCCCTTTGGCATCCTCCTTAAGAACACTCTCTCTCTACATTGATGCAGATTAATTAATCAATGATTTTTTTTTTGTTGTTGTTCAGAATGTCATAACTTTACCAAACTGTAGTCTCAATTCCTCTGCATTCACCATTAGAATTTCATGAGCTTGTCAAATACCTTGGTAAAATAAAAACACCATGTTAACAAGCATTTATTTTCTCCTTTATAAACTATATGTTCTTAAGAGATGAAAGTCTTGAACTGAGCCAACGAATGGCTTAGATTTTGGGAGGAAACAATAAGAGCCAGTATTTATTGAGCATTTCTTGTATGTCAGATGCATACACAGGTTCCGAGAGAAAATAATAACCAGTATTTATTGAGCATTTATAGTATATCAGACAGCATTCTAGCATATTTGATCCTTATAACAACCCTATGCAGTAGATACTCTTCTTATTCTTATGTTACAAATAAACTGAGGCTCAAAGAGGACAAATAACTTGTCCTGGGTCCCTCAGCTAATACATGGTGGAACTCAGATTCAATCTAGACATTCTCCTTTAGGAGCTTCAGCTCTACACCAGATTACAAGCATTCCAAGGGCTTTGAGGGAGGGATAGCAGGAGCTCACCAATAGACCTGCAAGGAAGGTCGATACTAGGAGTGCTCATAAAAGGCTAAAAAGGTTCTTGGGGCAAGACTAGGGGAAGCCTTGACCATCATGCTGGAGTTTGGATTTATATCCTACTTGTACTTTTTGAGCAGGGAAGTAGTGTCATGAAGCCATGCTTTGGGAATATATTGACCTGATCGCAGTGCACAGGATAGAGCTGGTGAGGTGGGAAGGAGATTATAACCCTGTAAGGACATTATTGCCTTAGCTTCTGTGTGAGGACAAGAAGAGGTGATATCTCTGGAAATAGAAAGCAAGTGGATCACGGTGAATGGCTTGACAATGATTTGATGTTTATGAGACTTCAGGGTGAGGTGTTGAAGAACAATACCATGCATGGTTTAAGCCGGAGTGAGAAAAATGGTTGTCCATGAACAGAACATGGGAAGTTGGTACTGCAAGCAAGTTTGGCAGAAAGATAATGAGCTCATTCGTAGACATCTTGAATTTCGAATGAGAAATCAGCTGGCTATTGGAGAATCGAGACCAACCAAAAGTTGGTCACAGCGAATGATGAATACTTTTGAGATATTATGAAAGTTATGGTTCGGTTTTAGAAGATCATACAATTCTAGGGAAAGAGAATTGAGAAAGAGGTATGGAGGCCCAAGTTCTGAACCTTGGAAACCATTGTATTTGAGAATGTGGAGAGAAGATGAGCTAAGAAAGGAAGCAGGTATAGAAGTAAAACAAAAAACAGACAGATCATGTTATTTTTTGACATCCAAGTACTCAATAAAAGTTATTTTAAATATTATTTATCATCACATTCACAAAACAATGTAGAACAGTACAGTTGCTCTTATTACATATTAGCAAATGTGAATAACAATTCAGTAACAAAATAACACCATATTAATCTTGTGTAGTTATGATTCTTAAAGCTGTTAATCTTTTTACTTGAACAACACTTTGAACAAGATATGCTTTGAAAGTATAAAAGTACATTAATGATACAGACACTGAAACATCCTTTAAGTATATTTAAAATACTATACTGGTTCAAGAACCTAATATGATATCTCAAATTACAAATGATCATTAGGATTTAAAAACTAGGACTGAAAATAAGTCACTTGAATGAAGAGCCCATGAATTCTCTCTGGCATGTGTAGAAGTGCCTAGAAGAAAAGTGTTTATTCATATTGCATGTGACAATCATGTCCTAGTGAATAGCATTTGATCATTCACTTTTTCATTAGTAACCGGATACCTTTAGATATTTGTTTTTTCCTTGAATGCTTATCCCTATTGTCCTCTAGGTGATGCCATCTAATAAAGAGTAAGGCTATGACTGGGAATATGATGGAGAAGAGTAGGTGGGGACCAAACTTAATGGATGCAGTCCCTGGGTTGGTTTTACAAATGGAAAATGTTTAGTTCTATAATATAAGACAATAAAATTTCTTTATGTCATCTATGAGTTTTCAAAAGCTATCAGGTATAAAATATTTTCTAATGTTTCAATGCAAATAGGGCACAGATCAGTAGAATAAATATTTATTTTATTAACTGTTTGAACTTTAATAATTAAATATTGCCTACTCTTTTAAATGTATATTTGATTTTCTGTACATTATCATTCATCACTCCTCTTTAAGTGGGTTCTTTAGAAACACAAGGTATTCTAAAGGTTTTCGAGACTATAGTCATGAATTTCAAAATGAAAGAAACTGATATTTGTAAGGTTGGAAAACATATTCAGGTCTTTTTATGCGAAATATTTTGCTTTCATTCATTTGAATTTTTTGTGCTACCTAAGAAAGCATTTCTAAGGCAAGCTAATGGCATTGTTTGTCTTATGAGAGCGTGCCTGTCAATTTCTCCATGCTACAAATGTCATTTGAAATATCTGAGCAGATTGCCATGTAGTTTTCCTGAGGATAAGGAGACAGCTCTGCATTCCCACCTAAGGTTACCGTTATTTGATGAATGAGGCAATTTCTGATAAGGCATATTTACCCAAATGATATTTGTATCAGAATATTTACAATAAGATCAAATCCAACTTGAGAATATTAACAATTAGCCGAGTCAAATATATGGAAATTGACTTTTGTTGAAAAAAAACAGAATGATGAATTGAATTGTCTTGCGTGTGTGTTCAGCTCTGATGATGTTAAACGGTTAGTCTTTATTTGCAGCCTCAGATCCTTCCCCAGTTGTATTTCAACACTTTCATAAAATATAATAAGGAAACATAATGCATGTCATTATTTTAGCAACAGGAGGTTGAACAAATGTACTTTTTGGTTTATGTTTCTAATAAAAAGTAATTTTGATTTAAATTAGCACTATCTTTTTTTTTAGGCCTCCATTCCTTTGAAGGAATTGGAGCAGTTTAACTCAGATATACAAAAATTGCTTGAACCACTGGAGGCTGAAATTCAGCAGGGGGTGAATCTGAAAGAGGAAGACTTCAATAAAGATATGGTAAATTGGTTGTGATAAAAGTGTGAATGAAGTAGGAGTGAAATGGACTAAATATTTGGAAAGAAATTAGATAACTCTTGTCTCCAACTAAATTCTCGGAACATACCTTGCCCATTTTGTGATTCTAATGATTTATTACAAATGCAAAGTATTCTTGTTGTGCTTTTATTATGAATGCCAAAGTAGTATGATATAGTCATAGAGGAGCACTTACGGATGCTAATAAATAGCTCAGCAATTTTGGTTTGACCTGTACTCTTTTCAAATTCAGAGGATAACATGTAATGGGGGGAAAAAGAGTCAAATCCAAAAATAAACTAGAAATTTCATCAGAAACTCAACTATCACAGATGGCTGATGTTTTCTTGTCATGTTTTTGGTAATATGACGTTCTTCCCCCCCCACACCCCCCAGAGAAGGGGCAATTACACACAATATAAACACTGTTTATTAAAGTTTACCACAAGTGGTTTTCCCCAAAAGTTGACTAAATAGTCCAGTTTATGTCTAAAACATGTATAAACGTATGCTGCTTATTTCACGGGGAATAAAAAATGTAACCATGCGGGCTATTCCCAAACTCATAACATTGTCATTGAGCCCTGATTAATTTCAAAACATCTTTGATATTTCTCTCTGGCTTGAATATTTCTGCATCACATCCTTTTTCACTGACTTTTTTTCTCCATCCACCTCCTTTTCACAATTTCCTTTCCCTTATTCCACAGCCATCCACCTATATGGCATTCTTAAGCTTCACATATATTGTGCTAGAGACTTCTCAGACATGTGTCAGTGCCAAAGACTTCTCAGAAAATGCCTGAAAATGACATCAAAAGGCAATACATCAATTTAAAGTAATAGGCATGTGAGGTGATAGCAGAACTATTTCCACCAATCTTAGTTCCGCTGGTATCAGCCCTGACTTCCTGGAGCTGCATGAATCATTACTCCCTGTGTCCGGGGGTTGGTGGCCTTGCCAACTCAGCTCCTGGAAAGAAAGACAAGAGGAGGCTTTTCAAGATGCTGAGTTACGGCTACCTCTATTTCCTCTCAAAGAAGAAACCAGAGAGCACCGAGGTGAAAAAGAGCGCTGCTTACCTCTTGGGCTAATCACCACCTCTGCCCACTAGCTCTCACCTGGTGCAAGGAAAGCAGTGAAGTGGGGGGGGGTTGTTTCTTTCTTTTTCTGTCCTCAGTCCTAGGAAATAGTGCAAACTTTTTAAAGACATATTAAAATAAGTACTTTCCCATACTCTAAATGTATATGTCTATGTTATACTACTTCATTAGACTAGTAATTGACAAATCTCAGAGAAAAGTCCCATTTATTCTGAAAAATGAACAGTTCCTCAGTTGTGTAGTGGAAGTTTTAAAAAGGCATTACAGATTTAAATGTATAGCATCTAATACCATGAATAGTTATAAACACACATACAGGTGACTTTTTAACAGTTGTCTGATATTTGTTATTCTGAGCTCATCAGAGTACCTTGGGTACCATTCCAAGGTGAACCTGCTGGATAGAAGGTTTTTATATATTGAGTTGAAACAAAGATAAGAAAGTAGACGTGGAAAATCACATTGTCACATATGCTAGTATATTAGACCAGCACTTACTCAAATAACTGTAATTCAAAATACATAAAATGAAAATATTTTATAGTCTAAAAAAGCAAAATGCATATGAAAATGTTAAAGCCATTTTTCTAATCTATATTTTAATGCTAATTTGATTGTATATTTAAAAATAACATGCACATACGACATATGTTTAGAAATTATTTGCGATATGTGACAGCAATTTAGCACATCATTTTTTACTCATGCCCTAATATTTGTCCTAAATTTGGGCATTTTGATTATTTAAAGCTGAAGTTATGAGATAGAAATTAATGTAAATTTAAAACAAAATATTTTCACTTAGGAGTGTGTTAAAATTGTAAGGTCTGTTGCCATCTCACACTCACACACCCACATCCATATTCTTACATGGATTAGTTAACACTATAAATGTCAAGTTTAGTGTGCTTCTCCCAACTATTTTAATTTCTAGAAATAAACTGAACATCAAAGCCAAATGAATGCTTTCACAGCAATTCAGGACTTGTCTGAAATGATGAAGTACCTTTGTTCCCCGTATCCCTATATACGCCCCTTATCAAGTGTGTCCTTTTGAGCTAAACAGGAGGAAACTTCTTTTAAAAGTTAAAGTGAACCATGTAAAAAAAAAAACATGAGCACAGTATCTTACAATAACACTCCCTGAAAGTTTTCAATTGGATTTTTTTGTGTGTGTTTAAATAACATGTTTGATTATCTCTGCTAACGATGTACAGCTTTTTAAAAACCAAAATGAAGACTGTACTTGTTGTTTTTAATCAGAGTGAAGACAATGAGGGTACTGTAAAAGAATTGTTGCAAAGAGGAGACAACTTACAACAAAGACTCACAGATGAGAGAAAGCGAGAGGAAATAAAGATAAAACAGCAGCTGTTACAGACAAAACATAATGCTGTCAAGGTATTAGAGCTAAAATTATAATATCCCTTGCCTGTGGTTTCTTTTCATATGTAGGGTAAAATATATTGTGCATCAGTAAAATATGCTTAACAGCCTTAGTCACCAGAAATACCTTTTTTTTTTCTGTTCCATGTGTGTGCTTTATTTAACATTTTTGAGTGGTGTCTTTGATTTTGGAAGATGTGTTGCTTACAAAGTTTGAGTTTTTTGGCTTGGACAAATTTTTCTCAGTAGTAATAAAAAGATAGTAAAATGCATCATTTATAGTATTTATACATTTAATTTTCTAATCTCGTTTATTTTTATACGTTATTTTTACGTGTCTTGAAAAACTTGCATAACTACCACAATAACCAATATATATATTTTAGACTTTCTGCTTCCTGTATGTTAGTGATTTTATTGACAGTCCAATTTTTTGGTAGCCTAATATTTGTTTAATAAGATCTGGGATTCTACTTGATTTTTTCCCAATTAGTTTCATTTTGCCGTGAAGAGAGTCACTCTTTGCAGCTAATTAAGCAACGACAAGAGTCTACTTTCATTTACATAGGAATCCTCAAAAATAATTTTTGTGTCCTTGAAGAACTGGTACTTTCATATTAACCAATGATAGTCTATTGCTTCAAGTACCCATGCGATTCATCTGGACTTGTGCAGGAAAGACAGAATAGAGTATTGATTTTTCTATAGTAATATCTAGGAAGTTCTTGAGCTGAGAATGGACACCTGAAGAGTTTTATGGAATAACCTTTTTTTGATGTGCTTTGCAATATTCACGATTTTCATGCATGGCTGATTTTCTAACACTGTTAATGGCTGAGCTTTTCATTGTAAATCAGTCTCTTCCGGCTGCGTAGCTGTGTAGGTGGATCCACCTAGTATGTGGATGCAATTGGCTTTCTATATGCAAATCAGAGTATAAAGCCATTTCCCATATAGCCAGACAACCAAATAAACACTGCTGAGAATGTAATTACACAATATTGTGCCTGCAAAGAATCCATGAGGAAAGTCTAATTGACCAGCAGGTGTTCTGAAGGTAACTGCTGATAAATATAGTTAATATAAAAGGTCTGTTCCTTGAGGGAAGGCAAGAGCAAGCCATGATGTGCTCAGAAAATCAGAAAGCTGTGTAATTCATGCTTCCAACGGTGACCAAGCTTTCAGAAACTTCTACCGTGGTCATATGATGATATGTGTCCTACTGTACAGCAGTGTTTAATGGTTATCTGGCATACCTGAAAAATGGATACGATGTCTCTAAGTACCTTCACCCAGTACACATCACCTTGTGCTTAGGAAGTAAAAGGAGTTTCAGATTTTTATGACCACAAGCCCTTTCTCTTGGCAGAGATGTGAGTTGTGTCACGAATAAGGCACTGCTCCACTCTCCTTCGTGGCTGTTATCTTGGTACCTTTGAAAAAAGCAGCATTCCATCTGGCTCATCATCTCGGGCATTTATTACCTCCACAGGAGGTTTATAAATTCAACGAGAAATGTACACTGCAGTCAATTTGACATCCCCAATTTTAAGCAAAGTGGAGAATGAAATCATTATGGCAAATATATGCTAAAAGTGATTAATGGAAATCTACTCCACTTGCCAAACCAATCTATGCCACAATTCAGTAACTGTGTGAACCAGCCCAGTGGCTCCGATTCTAGTCCTTCTGAAATATTTCAGAGAAGGTCAAAACTTTCTAATGCAATGAATATTTCAACAGGTCTTTGATATTCATTATTTTCTTTTCCTCCAGTTAAACCTGTACATGAAACCCTAATTGCTACTGCTCCGAAGCAATGAAAGCTGTAGTCTGAGCTCTTATGTTTTCCTTTTGTTACCATAAAATGGCATTTCAACCAATTCTGTTGATTAGGGAAGACGTTGTAAGGCGCAGGATGGTTCATTCCTGCCCCCATCTGTTGATTTATTAAATCAGTCACCCTTATTTATCTCATCAGGTTGATTGGATACCATATTCTATCCCTTTTCTTTAGAAAGTAATGCATTATCTTGCATTTGGAGCATGATTTGGTATAGTAAGAAAAAGTTGGCTGTGTCAGCCTTGAAAGAAAAACTATTTTTATAACATTTAAATTGTCATTTTCATGTACACTCACAGAAATACAGTTTTCACACTTCTACATATATAGCTTGAAACAATTTATATGATACGTAACGTGACTTTATATTTCCAATCATAAGCTATTAATGGTCCATGAAACTTTTTTACAGGAATTTGTAAAACCATGAATGTAGTTACTTGGCTATATAAACTTAAAAATTTGTTTATGAACCCAGGGCTTAAGATATAAATTTTAGAATTTCTTTTATACCTATTTTAAAAGTCAAATACAAACTCATTAAGTTTGTGCCAGTATCCAGCTAGCTCAAATGTATCCATATATTAAACTATTTCAAATAGGTCACATGATAATTTAGTTGTCTTGTTAAGTCAATTAAACTTAACAAGATTTCTAAACAAGTGTAAACATGCCAAGAGAAAATACTTTCCGTGGGTTGTTCAGGTTTCTTAGCTTCATGTACATGGGTCCTGCACATAAAAACATAAATGAATCATCTATGTGTATGTTTAGCATGTAAATGTAAACTTAACCAAAGTTATACAAAAAGATGAGGGACTCAGATTATTTTTAAATATCTACAGCCAGAAGTGTGCTATACATATATATTGATGTTTTAATAATATCTGCACCATGAACAGGATTTGAGGTCTCAAAGAAGAAAAAAGGCTCTAGAAATTTCTCATCAGTGGTATCAGTACAAGAGGCAGGCTGATGACCTCCTGAAATGCTTGGATGACATTGAAAAAAAATTAGCCAGCCTACCTGAACCCCAAGATGAAAGGAAAATAAAGGTAATGTTGTTTTAGAATGTCAATCGTAGAATTTTTTGCTACCTTTTCATTTCTTTAACTTAACCTGTGGATCATATTTAAAATGTTGATGTCGCAGTTTCCTCTATTAGCATTCTCTTTGGTTTCATGTATTTCCTTGTACTGCATTTTGTTCTAGTCTAGTAAATGTAGTCAGTGTTTTTCGATTGATAGAATGTTGAATGAATCAACTGTTTTATTTTTAGACAATGTACAATGAATTAAGAAATGTCATGCGTTTTCTGGTGGAATTGTGATTGACTTTGTGTATCTTTGTTCCAGATGAACAAATGACTTATCGGTATATGGACGGCTTCTTTCTCATGTTAGCACATTCATTTCATCAGAACATCTTCACATATCAGTGTCAAATCTGTCTAGATTCTTTTGCATATTGTCTGAAGATTTTTTCCGTTATTATTTTACACTTTTTATTTTGCTTCATTCTCTGTTGAGTTCCTCAAAACTTGATAAAAAGGAAATAAATAATCCATTCATTTACCCTCTAAATTATATTCTATGTGAATGGTCCCGCATACATAAAAAGTAATCACTCCAATTTGGGTCAAGCCCAGAACACCAGAGGAATTGAGAAGAAAAGAAAATGTTAGATCGATTTAAAGATTTTCTTAACTAGAATATCTGAAACTGAGCATTCAAAGGATAACTGAGATGCTATTTGGCTTCTTGGGTGAAGATGACAGTGATGGCTTCCATATTTGTAAATTCTGAAAAATGAAAATAAAATGACAAGAGCCTATACAGTTTCTGAGAGAAGTATGTGCTGCTTGCAGGTTGGTTGATGTGGTTAGCTAACTGCCCTGGGCCCTGTATTGGTTTTGCTCAATAGGAAATTGATCGGGAATTGCAGAAGAAGAAAGAGGAGCTGAACGCAGTGCGTAGGCAAGCTGAGGGCTTGTCTGTGGATGGGGCCGCAATGGCAGTGGAGCCAACCCAGATCCAGCTCAGCAATCGCTGGCGGGAAATTGAGAGCAAATTTGCTCAGTTTCGAAGACTCAACTTTGCACAAATTGTGAGTTGTTACTGGCAAACCCACGTACGTGCTTGCAACTACTTCTCTAATAACAGAGGCCTATTAACAAAACGAAAGCAAAAACTGGGTGCAATTTCTAACCTCTAATATGCATTCTGAAAGTGACTAGTGTCCCCTCACTTTGGGCTCCTGTAACACTAGTGGTTAATTTTTCAGATTCAAAATATAATAAATGAACAGGCCATAGGAAGCAGCCCCTTATCAAAAATGAAAAATACATCTTAATTTTTTGCCACATCATTATTTTCATAACATTGGCAATGTGAATTTGTCAATTTATCACACATTTACTTTATTTCACTGTCTAATCCAAAAATATGCATTGCTTTCCTGAGATCATCTCATGCTACTTTTACTTTTTAATGTATACATGGTAAATAATAAATCTTTTGTGAATCATCTTCTTATTATCAACTTGCATAAGCCCTTATATCATTGACTTAAAGAAGAATAGTTTAGTCCTTATACCTGGCTTAGTTACTTAATGGGTTAAAAGGTTTATTAGAAGAACTGGATGCCTAGTGAGATGGTTGATAATTGATAGCAGGTTGAAAAAATATCAAATATTGTGACTACTCAAATATTGCAAACCTAAAGAAAAAGAACGACTGCTCTTCTTTCACACAGCTGGCTGGAAATTCCGTGATTCTGTCTTTAAAAAGGTGATTGATGAATGTAAGCTTGTTCTTCTTAGCTCTTCATTTGTAGTAGGGTATAAATCATAGGGATTTTCTAAGAGATATGTGATTTGTTTCCATTCTGAGAAATTGTAAAAAGGAATGGTCACCGCTTTGTAATTATGCAAAGATAGTGCTCCTCACAAAACCAGGATATCAGAGTCTGGGAAATAAGGCTTTATAATGAATTACGTTAGGTTGAATCACATGAAACCAACAGTAAGCCATTTTTGACCTATGTAATTGACAGTTTCATTTGTTTAAACCCAGAGATGAGACTTTCTTTGGAATTTTTATGTGATACTGTTGATTCCATTTAATATGGGGTGTATATTTTAAACTATGTCTAGAACAATTAACGTAACTTTTATAAGCATATAATTTTGTTAATGCTGCTTATTAACCAAAGGAAAATATACGTCATATTATTGTGAATTCCTTTTTCGTGTAGAAAAATCCATGACTACACTGTTTTCTATGAAATCCAATACTCCAAAGTTTAATAGAAGCTGAGTATTCTGAGCAATTGGAAGAAGTAATATAGGGTATATTTAAACTATATTACATTTGAAGTCCAATTCCAGCTGATAGCACATTTCAGCCTATTGTTCTTCATATTAGATGTTGTGAACATAATATGTCATAAACCACTCAAGCTTACATTAACACAGAGCCTGTGTCTATGGATGCAAAATGAATTGAAAGATTAAGACAACCATAAGGAAAAGTCAAGTAAAATATTTTTGCCTTTATTTAGTAAATCATTCAGGAAGCAGTACTTTGTTTTGAATTACCTTACTAGTAACCAGTTTCTCAATTCTAATTTTCCCCAAATCTTGACACACTCTATATGCGGGACTAAAATTTTTTTACAACCTAATCAAGGGAGGTTATTTACACTTTATAGTTAAATCGACACAGGATAAAAAATCCCCATAAAACACCCACTTAAAATGCCATTATGTAATTACACATAATAGGCTTTCAACAATATTTGTAGAGCATAATAAAATAATGATTGGTGAAAGAAAGAAAGGGTATGTAAACCAGTATAAAATTTTAAAAGTAATTTATCGTAATATACTAAGATACATTTTTTTCCACAAACCATTTCTTCTTGATTTCATATCTGAAATATTCAAAATTCAGAAGGCGCTGAGGGGTGGAGGGAGATTTTTATACTAATTGTTGATTTTTCCATGATAATAGAAGCAATAACAATATGTATGAAGAATAATCAATTTAATATTACAATTATATTTGACTTTGGATTTTAATTAGACCTCAAAGATGGTAGGTGATTGATAGATATATCCAAGAGGTATCTTTATATTCCACCAATTACTAACATATATTGACAAACTGATTTCGCATGTCCACTGGTTAAAATCATCTTCCCAGTTATTTTGAGATGAGGCCATTTGAGAAACCCACAAGCAGTCAGCTTAACCAAAAGTTATAATTTGAATAATCCTACAATGGCCCTGATATATCACAGCTAGTCATAGCTGCAGCATTTTTTTACTCCCTCTGCACCCCCCTTCTCTATTTCTCTCATCTTTCTTTCTCTCAAATGTCCCTTTCTGTTCTCCCTACATATAAACCTTAGGCTTTATTTAGACTTCTTGATTTTCAATTAGCCTTTCGTTATCATCACAGTGGCAATTCCAGATTGTAGGCAAACTGTAAAGTGCTTAACATTTGAGGGCTTAGTTTAAAATGAGGATTTAATTTTTCTTATTGCAGAGGTAAAGACTCAGGAATGGACTGAGTAGTGGAAAATGAATGCACTTTGGGGCCAGTGTTCATGTCAGAGCTGTAGCAATGGGAAAGTTCAGAAAAGGCCAGCGACTCAGTCTGAAGGAGCCATGAGGCAGCCCTGGGCCAGATAGGAGCGCAGAGCCAAGCAGAGTAGAGAGTATTGGCAAATGATGGTCCTCAGGGCAAACCTAGAGACCGTCAAGGATGGAGAACAGACTGGGGGGAAACCAGGTACAATTTTCGCCAGGTAGTCAGCATGTGGAAGCCTGTGCTCTAGGTAGGAATACAAGGCATTTCTAATATAGTTCCAGTTGGCTTTAGAGACCTGGCTGCTCAATGAAGACCAAGTAAACTGAACATAAGGAATTTTTCTGCAGGATGCTTTATAGCAGCAGTAAAACAACCACTAGTAAAAAAATAAAAAGACCACTCCCTGGAATGAGCAGCCATGCTATGAACCCCAGTGACAATTTGCTGCCTGTATGACCATGGGGAAATCTCTCTCAACCTGATTTCTCTCATTTCTATAATAGGGATAAGGATGCATGTGGGAATTAAATATGGCAATATTTGTAAAATACCTGCTGAATTATAGGGGCTCAATGAATCGATTTTTTCTTTCTCTTTCTGTATATAAGTTAACATTGGAAAAGAGACACATTATTTTACAAATTTATATCTTTATAAGGCAATAAGAAAAGTAGGCTCAGTATGTACCATAGGCTTAGTATGTTATGAACAAAGATCCATTTTGTTTAATGTAAATTACAAATTAGATTCCATAATCCTTGGACAGGTGGTTTTATCTAGAGCTATACAATATTTGCAGGAAATGTCATGCAAAGCTGGTGATCCTACCACTGAAGGCGTAATTCTCCATAAACTTGTCCACAGAGCTCTATCTGAATTCTTACCTTCTACAGAAAAGTAAAGAAATAGATAAGAATAAATGTTGTGAAAATTCCTTAATAGGAAATTAGGCATAATTTTTTATTAAGTTTAATTGTAGCATTTGACAGTTAACCTCAGAGAGACTAAGTAAATGTAACCACAGAATTGTACAACAAAGGTACCACCACAACCCAGGGCTCGTGTGGAACTCCTATGAAAATCAGCTCAGACTGAAATTACAATGGGTATGAAAAAGAGTCTTTTCATGAGTGAAATTAACAGATGACAAAAATAAAGGGAGAATGTAAACCTGAAAATTTTCAAAATAAGAAGATAGAAAAGGACGTTCAAATAAGTGTTTTCTAATATTCAAAAACAATTTTAAAGGGTGGAATGATATTCTTACAATAAAAACAGGGCAGGCTATTTTGAATAGTGAACAGGAGGATTTGAAAAACAAAGGTTGGAAATGAAAATATAGTTATTATAATAATAACTTAAACAACCTTTTTAAAAATGGGTTCACTATGGAAGAAAAAAGAATGTATTGATTGAAAAATGCCAAGGGAAATTCTGATTTGCTGAGAATACTGGAAGATGTAAAGAATAGAATAAATAGCTTAAACATATGTCAGCTTGAGAAAGCAGAGTGCCTGAGGAAGAGACAATATTTTGTATAAATGACCGATATTTAACAGAATTGAATACATTTCAATTTACATGAGCCCTCCATTTGAGTAAAGCTGAACCAGTTGGGAATAAACAAAAACAAGTTCATAGCTAGCTGATTCAAAATGAAACTGAGAACATCAGTGATCAGGGAGGTATCACAAAGCTACTGAGGACCAAAGACAATACCTAAAGGATGACAAAATTGGCAGCAGACTCTTGATCAACAAGAGATGTTACAAGAGAGTGGAAAAAATACCTTCAATGTGCTAGGCAAATTTTCAAATATCCTGTAAACTATGATTTGAGAATGAAGACAAAATATTTTCAGAAATACAAATATTTTCAGATAAACAAAAAAAGAGAATTTATTACATATAGATTCTTGCTGAAAGAATCAATAAACTCTATACTAGTGTAAAAAGGAAAATGAAGCCAGAAAGAGGAAGCAAGCTATATAAAACTACACAATTTCTTTTCTATATATAAAGAAGGAAATTTTTTTTAAATCTTGAACTTAGCTACTAAAATTGTGGCAAGTGATGCAAAAGAAAGCATAGAGTGCTATCAGAATGTAACAGTGATTTGACCCCACACAAAGGAGAATACCATAAAGAAAAGGCTTTTTCTAGATGGTAGGAAAAAATAGAAAGTTTGTGCCTAATGTGTTCTGTGTGAATTACTGCCATTTACCATGTTTCTAGGGAGAAAAATATGTGACAAACTTTTGGAATAGGCATACGTATATGACCTGTCCCAGGAAGGGGAGCCTCAAAAATGCGAACATCTTAGTGGAAGAAGGAAAAGAAACGGATATCCTATAGTTTTGAATACTAAGTAGATAATGCTGGTATTCCATGTTTTACATCCAACAACTTTTATTCATCTTCTTATTTTGGATGCCTAACAGGTAGTTCAAACATATCAAAACCATGTCAAGAATACTTGATTTCCTCCTCTGCATAAATTGGCTTCTTTCAC